GACCCCTCCCTCCCCCTTAGATCCACCCCCCCCAGCACGGCTGGATCCGGCCTCTGCGTCCCACCCCCGGCCACCAGAACGGGGGTGTCGGGGCGAGGGGACCCCCCGGCGCTGCCAGCGGTGCCGTGGGGGCGGTGCCCGATTTGGGGTTGGTGTGGGGGGGGGGGGTCCCAGCATCCTGGCGCCCACCTTGGGGTGAATCCCTGCGAGTCCGACGGGCGCCACGGGGTCGGTGCTGCCCCGGGGGAGGGGGAAGTCTGTGTGTCCCCCCGCGCTGTGGTGTATGTATGTACAGGGGTGCGCGGGGGGAGGGGGTCCGGGGGGCGCTACTGGGCGTCGATGCGGAAGGAGAGCAGCTTCTCGGAGTGGAGGTTGTTGAGGGTGCGCAGGTCCGGCAGCTTCAGCAGCAGTTTGGTGAAGCGCGAGGTCTCGGCAGGGCGCGTCTTCAGCACCAGGGCGCGCAGGGCCCGCAGCAGCGTCTCCTGCAGCTGCTCCACTGATGCCGTGTCCTCCATGCCCGAGCGGTCTGGGGAGGACAGGGGGTCAGGGGCAGGGGAGGAGACACTCCAGTTCCACCCCCAAAACCCCCTAATCCCACCCAACCCAGCATCACCCTCATCCCAGCACCGCTGGTGTTCCCACAGTATCACCTCAACACCTCCACAACCCCACCCCTGAATGCCCCGAACACCCCACTAACCCCCTGATCCCAGCCCCAAACCCCTCGATTCTTTTCCAAACTGCTCTGATCCCAGCCCCAAACTCCTCCATCTCCCCAAATCCTCCCGTGCCCACCTGCCGAGACAAGGACCACGGCAGTGAAGAGCCCCAGCTCCTCGTCACTGAGCTCCAGGGCGCTGAGCTTCTCGCTGAAGTCGAACATGGCCCCAAGCAGGTCTCCCATGCCCATGGCCCACAGCTCCTCCAGCCCGTACCGCGTGCGGCTCATGAACGTCACCGTCTGCTCCTTCACGTCGAACAGCGACGCAAAGCGAACCATCAGCACCTGTGGGCATGGGGCAGGATATGGGACAGGGCACCAGGCGGAGCCACGGGCACCGCGCTTCATGCCAGGGACATCGGTCTCCAAGCCACAGCTCCCAAATGTGGGGCAGTGCCGTGCCATGGGGCACCAGACATTGCCAGGGGCATTGTGCTGTGCCATGGGCTCTGTGATCCATATGGTGCCTACCAAACGTGGGGTACCATGCCATGGGTACTGTGCCATGCCAGGGACATTGGTCTCCATGCCACAGCTCCCAAATGTGGGGTATTGCCATGCAATGAGGGCACCAGACAATGCCAGCAGCACTGTGCCAGGCCATGGGCTCTGTGATCCATACTGTGACTACCAAACGTGGGGTACCATGCCATGGGTACTGTGCCATGCCAGGGACATCGGTCTCCATGCCACAGCTCCCAAATATGGGGCACTGCCGTGCCATGGGGCACCAGACAATGCCAGCAGCACTGTGCCAGGCCATGGGCTCTGTGATCCATATGGTGCCTACCAAATGTGGGGTACCATGCCATGGGTACTGTGCCATGGCAGGGACATCGGTCTACATGCCACAGCTCCAAAATGTGGGGTATTGTCATCTAATGGGGGCACCAGAAAATGCCAGGGTCTTTGTGCCATGCCATGGGCTCTGTGATCCATATTGTGACTACCAAATGTGGGGTACCATGCCATGGTTACAGTGCCATGGCAAGGGCACTGTGTTTCATGCCATGGCTCCCAAATGTGGGGCACTGCCGTGCCATGGGGCACCAGACATTGCCAGGGGCATTGTGCCATGCCATGGGCTCTGTGATCCATATTGCGACTACCAAATGTAGGGTACCATGCAATGGGTATTGTGCCATGCCAAGAGGACTGTGTTTCATGCCACAGCTCCCAAATTTGGGGCCTTGCTGTGCCATAGGGCACCAGGGGCATTGTGCCAGGCCATGGGCTCTGTGATACGTATGGTGACTACCAAATGTGGGGTACCATGCCATGGGTACTGTACCATGCCTATGGTACAGCATTGTGTTTCATGCCACGGCTCCCAAATATGGGGCACTGCCGTGCCATGGGGCACCAGACAATGTCAGGGGCACTGTGCCATGCCATGGGCTCTGTGATCCGTAGGGGGACTACCAAATGTGGGGTACCATGCCATGGGTACTGTGCCATGGCAGGGACATCGGTCTCCATGCCCCAGCTCCCAAATGTGGGGTATTGCCATACAGTGGGGGCACCAGACAATGCCAGCAGCATTGTGCCAGGCCATGGGCTCTGTAATCCATATTGTGACTACCAAATATGGAGTACCATGCCATGGGCACTGTGTTAAATGCCACAGCTCCCAAATGTGGGGCACTGCCGTGCCATGGGGCACCAGACATTGCCAGGGGCATTGTGCCATGCCATGGGCTCTGTGATCCATATTGTGACTACCAAATGTGGGGTACCATGCCATGGGTACTGAGTGATGCCAGGGGCACTGTGGTTCATGCCACTGCTCCCAAATGTGGGGCATCACAATGCCATGGGGCGTGGGGATTCGTGTCAGTCCGTGGTCCCCAATTGTGGGGTACCATGCCATGCCTGGGGCATCATGCTCCATGCCACAGCTCCCAAAAGTGTGTCACTGCAGTGCCATGGGGCACTATATAATGCCAAGAGCACTGTGCTGCATGCCACAACTCCTGATTGCGAAGCACTGCAGTGCTGCAGGGCTCCATGCCAGTCCACAGGGCACTGTGCCATGACAGGGACACCGTGCTCTGTGCCACAGATCCCAAATGTGGGGCACTGCAGTGCTGTGAGGCAGCAGGCAATGCCATGAGCGCCACGGCTCTCAAATGTGGGGCACTGCAATGCCACGGGGCTCCTGCTGTGTTCTGGTCCACTGTTCCCATGCTTTGGGGCTCCGTGCCAGCCCATGGAGCACCGTGCAGTGCCATGGGGCACCCTGTCAGTCTATGGGGCATCATCGAGCCCTCACCATTCCGGGACGTACCTCAAAGGTGCCAGCCTTGAGCAGGGTGACCTGGTCATGCTGGGAGAGCGCCTGGAAGCCGGGAATGTGCTTGGCGAACTCCACGACCTCGCGGACGGCGGGGGTGAAGCTGAGGGAGAAATCCTCCCAGATCTCCTGCACGGAGCGCCCGCTGCGGCCGGGCACGTGGCTGTTCATGGGGCACGCCTGCGGGTGACCAGCGGTCAGCGGGCACCGGGGGCTCCCCCGGACTCTGCGGGGCTCCCCCGGCCCCGCCGCCACAGGAGGAGGGGGGCAACGACAAGGGGATTAATGTGATTAGCGGCTAAAAATAGCCGGGGGGGAGCGGGAGCCCCCGGGCGCTCACCGGCAGGACGTCCTTGGGGCCGCGGGGCCAGGGGCACCCCCGCGGGGCCGGGGGCTCGGGGTAGGCGGCGGGGCACAGCCGGGGCTCGGGGGGGCCGGGGGCCCAGGCGGGGGGCGCGTCCCAGCGCAGGAGGCCGCTGTCGCAGGCGGGAGGGGGTCCCAACTTGTCGTGCGCGTAGATGAAGATCTCCTTGTGGGCCTTGGCCACCTGCGCGATGACATCCTCGGTGGCCCCCCCGGGGCTGGGCGAGCGGGGCGGTGTCAGCTGCTGGGGGAACTGGGAGAAGCAGGCGGGGGGGGCGAGCGGCGGGGGGCCGGGGGGCGGTGCGTGCCCCCCGCCCGCGGCGGGACCCTCGCCGGGCCCCGGCATCGGCGGTGGGGCACTGGCCATGCCGCCCATGGCGCTCTGCATCTCCGCCAGCATCCGCTGCTTCTCCCGCTTGGGGATGCGCCCGAAGCGCACGGCTGAGGGGGGACACCGGTGTTAGGGGGACGTCAGCGGCAGGCGGTGACCCCCACCTGCACCCCCAGACCTGCACCGTGAGGGGATGATGGCAGCAAGGCGGCATCCCTCCCCCGGGCTTGGAGGGGACACACAGCCCATCCCGGGAGGGGACACACAGCCTTAAAAATGGGAAGACCCGGTCCTGGAGGGGACATAGAGCCCTGAACATAGGGGGACCCATCCCGCGAGGGGATGTAGAGATCTGAGTAAGCATCCAAGGGAAGGACATGTAGCCGCGATGTTGGGGGACCCTCTGGGAGGGGACACACAGCACTGGCCATGGGGGACCCATCCCGGGAGGGGACAGGCAGCTCTGGGCACGGGGCACCCAGTCTTGGAATGGACACGCAGCCCCACATATGGGGGTGTCCCAGGAAGGGGGACACATCCCGTGGGACAGGCACAGCACCCAGCACAGGGCGGGGAGCGGCTCCAGAGGGGAGGTACAGCCCTGGATACATCCCGGCAAGAGAGCAGCCACCTGGGCACCGGGAATCCCACCCGCAGAGGGAATCCCCAGCTCGGGACGTCACGAGGGTCCCTCGGAGCTCACCATCACGGGACATGCCGACCAGCAGGCACTTCTTGAAGCGGCATTGCTGGCAGCGGTTGCGGTTGATGCGGACGATAGAGCAATTCTCGTTCTTGAGGCACTTCTTGTACTGGATGTTCTGCTGGATGCTGCGGCGGAAAAAGCCCTGCGGGGCGAGCGGGGGGAATCACTGGGGGTCCCCGCAGCGTGACAGGGGTTCCGAGCCCCATCCCCGGCCCCATCCCGGTACCTTGCAGCCCTCGCAGGCGTGGACGCCGTAGTGGAAGCCGGAGGCGACGTCCCCGCAGACCTTGCAGAGCAGCACCATCCCGTTGAGCTCTGCGGGGGGACGGGGGTCAGCGGGGTCCAGGGATGGGGAGACCCCCCAAGCCACCCCCCCGCGAGCCCCCACTCACTCGTGACGGTGCTGCCGGCTTTGCTGGGCGAGCTGCGGCGCCGCTCGTCCGCGGGGACCGGCTGCACCCCGGGGAAATTCACCGAGGAGCTGTACGAGGAAGAGGAGGTGGAGGAGGAGGAGGATGACGAGGAGGAGGAAGAAGGAGAGCCGTCTTCATGGGGGGCCAGCGTGGCTCCGCCATAGGCGCGGGAATCCTGGAGGGAGCCGGTGGGTGACGGTGGGAAGTAGGTGGGGAAGGGCTGCGAGCCCGACTGGGAGCTGCTGTTGGAGCTGTCGCTGCAGAGGGACACGGGGCTGGTGCGGGTGGGAGAGGCGCCGCTGGAGCCCACGTAGCTGATCACCCCACCTGCAGAGAGAAGGAGCCACTCATGCACCGAGCTGTGCCGGGCTCAGCCTCCCCCGACTCACGGAGGTGGGTGGGATGCCCAGGGAAGCACCATCGGCAAGCAGGATCCGTGGGCATCCCGCGGAGTCACACGTGCACTGAGCTGTGCCAGGCTCAGCCTCTGCCAGCTGAGGAGGGGGAAACCCCTCGGAGGGCGATTGCAGCCCCAGGGTGGGTGAGATCCATAGGGAAGCATCCCAGATCCACGGGCATCCCGGTGGGCCACTGATCTACTGAGCAACACCAGCTCAGCCTCCCCCACCGCGGGGGTGGGGGGGAAGTCCCCCAGAGGGAAATCGCAGCCCCACGCGGGGTGGGGTCTCCAGGGAAGCTCCCCGGATGCATCCCGGATCCGTGGATATCCCGCTGCGCCGCACGTGTGCCGCCCACCCTGAGTCAGGCACCGCACCCAGCGGCCGCCACGGGCCACGGCCCCACGTGGGACGGGGACAGCCGGGTTTATCCGGGTACGTGCCGGCTGGGGACACGGGCAGGGCACCCCGGAATTGCCTGCAGGAGGAATGTGGGCTGGGAACCCTCTGCAGAGGTGAAATCAGGAGGTCACAGAGTTACTGCTGCCGTTCCTGGCTCTGTGCCTGCAGCACAGCCGGGCTGCTGCCCCACAGCTCCCGCGGCAGTCCCACAGCGCAGCCCCCCGTGACGGAGCCCCCCACGGCATTGGAGTGCCCCCAGTGCAGCCCCCCCATGCACCGGGATGCTCCCAGCGCAGCCCCCTCCCAACTGGGGGGGGTAATTCCCCTCTGCAGGACTGAGGAGCCGTGTGAAGACCCCCAAAAGTGGGGAGCAGCATGGGGGGGACACACGCGTGGCCCCTGGCTGCAGGCACAGTCGTTGTCACCCCACTCACGGGGCAGGGACGGCAGCACCGGGACACGACTCCGGGCTGGGACACGTGGATGGTGATGTCGGGGACACACGGGATCACCAGGGCCATGTGTCTCCCGCCGCACACGGTGCCGCTGGCACAGATGCCACGCGCCAGAGCCAGCTTGTCACCATCCCCCCCCTCACTGAACCACCTCCAAAGGGGGTCACCGAATTGGGGACAGTGGGTCCCACCTCCAGGACAGCTGATCCTGGGGACCCCCCCGCTGCTAAGACACCAAAATAATTGGGGGATCCCCGCACCCCAAAAGCCTCGGGACACCCATTTTAGGGTTTGGGGTGCGGGGATTCCCCATAAAGGCTTGCCCCAGAGAGAGGGAAACTCTGTTGACCCCAAAACAGAGGGAACCCCCCCAAACAGGCTCCCCGCAGCCCCCCCCCAAGCTCAGGCGGCCTCACGCCGCCGCCCCACGTGCTCCAGCCGCACGTGGCCCCCCTAGACCCCGCCCCTTCACGCTTTACCACGCCCACCCGCCTCTCATTGGCCAAACCCCGCCCCGCCCCTTCTCGTTGCCCCGGAGACAGGGCTCCCCCCCCAATGAACGGCGGCGTCCCCGGTTCCGTGCGTGACGTCATCGCTGATGTCATGTGCCCACCAATGGGAGGGGGTGGGGCGGGGCTGAGGGGAAAACAAACTCCGCACGTGGCAGCGGCGGGGAGGGGGACACGTGCGGGGGGGAGGGACACGG